CACCAGTGCTGGGCTTAGCCAGAGATGAAGGATCCCTGTAACAGACCATGACCTCTGCATGTGCCCGTCTACCTGCAGGTGGGAAACAACAGCAAGGACATCCTTTGTGATATAACTCAGCTATCCTTAAATTACCCTTCTTCAGTTACTTTTAACCAGGAGAGATGTTACAACGCTCCAAAACAGCCGCTTCTTATTCAGGTCTCTAAAGAAACACTGCTTTGTCACGCTGTCGCTGCAGATGGAAGAACATGTGATGCGCAGCACCCAGATTATCTAATTCCTAATTAGTCCATCGATTGCATTAAAGACACTGCTAGCTGATTTTTCAGGTCCTTCAAAGGTGGACAGCGTTTAAGCCTCGAATAATTAAATAATAATTGAAGCGATGTCGCTGATGAGTTTTAAATTGCACTAAATGACTGAATGCAAGTCTTGAGTATGTGGGTTATTTAGGCTGGCAGCATCTGACAGCACACTGAGCTGTACCCAACCTTCACTACCTGACATTTCCTATTCTTCAATCAACCGACAACTCGCGCTCTTGTGCAGGACTACTTGCTGTGGAACCGCCTCGGGGCCACGCTGGCGAACGGCGATCGAAGCGAGGAGGCGATGGAGGCTTACACAAGAGCCCTGGAGCTGCAGCCGGGGTTTATCCGGTCCCGCTACAACCTGGGCATCAGCTGTATTAACCTGGGGGCACACAGGTGAGTGATCTGTGAGTGGGATAGCATTTCTATTCTGTTTGCGTGATGCAGTGGAGCAGAATTAATAAGCAGGTCAGAAAGGGCAGCAGCTGAAGTAAGACAATGCACAGAGTTAATATGTGAATTTTCATAAATGCCAAATAAAACATGACATCTGCACACTGAGAAGGCTGCAGACGATATTGGCTTAAAAATGAAAATGTGGCTGATTAATTTCCTGTTGATAGATTTATTATTGCAGCTCGAATCTAAATTGCAAAATGTGCGACTTGGTGCACAAGATCTCTTCTTATGAATCATTTATGTCGTGTGGTGAGTGGATACTGTCTGCACATTCAGCTCATGACACCAATCATATGCATTCATATTTCAAAATTATCATAGAACGAGTTTTAATATGTACCTGCCAGACAACACGCAAAAGGCAAACGCTCATCCTCAAACAGGAAATATTCAGATTGAAGCTGTCAGCGCAGAAAGACAAGCAGCAGCACGTGACCGGAAATCTGACACAAGCAGACATCAAGACAAACTCAGCCAGTTACACTCAGAGATGGGCAGTAACGCGTTACTGTAATCCGATTACTTTTTTCAAGTAACGAGTAAAGTAAGGGATTACTATTGCAAAAACAGTAATTAGATTACTGTTACTTTCCCGTAGGAACGCTGCGTTACTGCGTTACTAAAACCGTGATTTTTTTGCGAGAATGTCTCATGACAGTGACGTAAGCGAGTGCGACGTTCGAGACAACAGCTGTGTGCAGATCAACAATGGATCATATATCGAGTGCAGAGAGAGTATGAGCGTGCAGCGTTTAAAGCGTGGAAGTACTGACCTTACTTTGAGTTTGATTCCATAAAAAGTGACAAAAACATTAGTGTCCGTTGTGCGTGGGAAGAAAACTTCTTTTTACAGCGAAAAAACCCCAAACTTCCAAACAAGCACCGAGTAGCTACGACGTAATGGGAAACTCACAGAGAAACTCGCGGATTCTTCCACTGACCGCTGCACACCTGCACCAGGGTAACCCTCCGCCTACCCCACTCCTGCTTTACAGGTGAAAATAGAGCAACAGGACCGCTAGTCTTTGACTTTATTTATTTTCTGCTGTGTTTTACTTGCATCTATTTGAAAGACTGAGTGTAAACACACAAAATATTTTATTTTATGTGCTGGAATGTGCAGAAAATAGGTTTAAATGTTAAACTAATTTCTTCCAGTCAGAGAATGTTGCAGATAATTAAATGTTTGCTTGATGCATAAAGTTAAAAGATTAAAACTAATAAAACAAGTTTTAAAAAGAGACTTTTCCATTTGATTACATTTTGTATGATGATGCAGAAAAAGTAGAATTGGGCTGAAAGATCTATCACTTTATCACCTATTCAGGTTGTAAACTAGTTCAAATGAGTAAGTTTTCTAAACTTTACCAAATAAAAGGTTTGTGGTAAAACGCAAGAAAGGCCTTGACGTTGAGGTAGCTTTAAATGTCTGCACATTTGCCTTAATGCAACCACACAGGTCCTGTTAGTTTGGCAGCTGAGACGTCTCGCAGAGTGATCAAGTGCAGTAAGGTTTGTTTTGGCCTTTTTGTTTATATTCTTGTTGTGCAAAATGAGTTGGTCTCGTCTTCCTCACCCCAACCGACTGGGCGGGCCTCTCCCTGAGCCGGGATCTGTCCAAGGTTTCTTCCTGTTTGATGGCAGCAAACTTTCTCTGGGTCATCTTTACCACTATGTAGCATCGCCTCTTCTTTTAACAAAGTCTGTACGTGTCTCAGAACTGAGACCAGCTGATGGAAGTTTGTGATGACTTGCTTTTATCCCTTCTTCCCCAGAGAGGCGGCCAGCAACTTCCTGACTGCCTTAAGCCTTCAGAGGAAAAGCCGGAGTCGCCAGCAGTCCCACCAGGTGATGTCTGGAAACATCTGGGCGGCTTTGAGGATAGCTTTATCCATGATGGACCAGCCTGAACTCTTCCAGGCTGCAAATATCGGCGACTTGGATCTTCTCATGCGGGCCTTCAACTTAGACATTTGACGACCAGGAGGCAGTAAAGCTAACATCTGCCCCCTCTTCACTTACTCTCTTATTTCTACCCAACAGCCAAAAGTCCAAAGTGCACACATCAGAATGGACTGATGGACGTCAGAGACAACAGTGTATTTTTACGCACGTCCAAATTAACTACGTCAAAGCTATTATATTTTCACCCAAGTACCTCGGAGCAGGGGACAGGTTCTTCCAAGGGTTTGAAGGGACTGCTCTGTGTTGGATTTGCACTGTAATTTGTGATTTCCCTGAAGAGCACAAGGACGGGCAAAGATTGTACGAGCAATGCCTTAGAGAACACATCAATTAAACCTGAGTCATCCAGCGGAACAGAGCAGAGACGGCTGTACGAGCCTGACCTCACAGGCCGTTTTCACAGAAAAGAGGAAAAACGTTTCCCGATTTCTCTCCTGAAGGATTTAGTGAGCAAAGACTGCAGCATATAACTCCAGACTCTGTTCCTGGCTTATTTTCATCCTCTTTCAATGGGAAAATAACGATACTGCATGAATAAGCATTTTCATAACTGGATTCTTGTTTAACATACTTTTAGAAATTTTCCCTTTGCACATAAACAGATATAACTTCCTCAGTCCGAGTGGAATGTGCAAGCCAGGTCTGTAAAGCCTTACCCGAAAGCATGCGACCAACAATATTTATTTATACTATTTTTATGAAAACAGAAAAAACCCACACTAAGCCATTTTCAGACTAGTTTCATTTTCTTTAAATAACTGCTGTTTTTGAACTTGAAAGCTTTCTGAGCCACTAATTTTTGTTTCGCTGGTTTTTTCTCTCCTTTTTTTTGGCTCCTAGCTCCTCTTTGTTCCCTTTAAGCTGACTGCAGAAACACAGAAAAGCTGAGCAACAGCAATCTATAAAACCTTCATTAGTCTTTTCAAACTTTAGCATATGAAAACGTTATTCTTAGTCTAAAAATATCTCTTTTTATCTTCTTCTGCTAGTTCTGGGATGGCGTCAGAGCTCCTAATGACTACTGTACACATTATACAGTCCTTTTTATTTTTGCTGACCGGTTTGTTTTCTGTTGTCTGCTGACGCCGTCACTGCCGTCTTTGCTGCTCCTCCAAAGACAGCAAGGCTCATGCATTTAATAGTCATAATGCACGATTTAAATATTTACGTAAGCTTGGGCAGAATGCTGCACATGTATGATGAACGCTGTTCGTTTCACCACACACTTCACATCAGATGTTCAAACTCGAGATGGTTATGCATCTGCAGAAAACATGAATGCAGTGACTCTCCTGCTGCAGGCAGAAAGCTTTTCCTTACACTTTTTAGCTGACAGCTTCACTTGCATCACTGCTGCTAGTTTGAAAGTCACTCTCTGACGTGAATACCCTGTACCTCGCTGTGCAACAGAGTAAATGATAGATAATCTTCTGTACTGCATAGCTCAGCACATTCGGGTGTTTATCAGGCGTGTCCACGGTCTGGGTGCTGCAGAAAGTGGTTTTATTGTAGCTCCTATGCAAAAGGTCATGTTTTATGTTGCCATTCTGAATTGTTGCGGGTCCCCGTCTGCCTCGGCGGACCGAAAGGAAGCGTCGTTTCGGTGTTTGGAAAGAACGCTATCAGGCAGAACCAGAGACCAGAGCGAGAGCCATTCATCTTCCAAACTGTACAGCCGGGTGTCACGGTCTGTACAAGAAGAAGTGTTTCATCGGGAAGTTGCCAGAATGAAAACAAGTGAGAATGAAAACAAGTGTGCTCCCAGGGAGAAAAGTGGTCAGAGGCTCTGACTAGAAGAAAGACTGATCGACACAAAGAGTGCAGCCTTCTGCTTTTAGAGCCAGGCGCACGGACACGGCGTCTTTGACATCAGTCGCATCCATCAAATTCATCCATGTGTTGAGCTTTATCAAGCTCCATACATTCTGTCCTTGTTGTCACACTAGCTGCATTAATATATTCGCGTCTGTGGCACTGATGAAAAAAGATCAGCTGCTCTACTTGCAGATACTTAAAAAATGTTGGCACAGACTCTATTTATCACACACCAGGATAAACAGATCAAACACTGGACGAGGAGTCAGAGATACACAGCACATATGTGCATGCCTCTAACAGTCGGCCTCAGAGGGGAGCGAACAGCGACTTTGGCAGTGAGGCCAGAGCAGGGTGCATGCACAAATGCATCCACTGTGGGAGACTGGACGATGATAAAAGGTGTCCTTCACTGGAGCCAATCAGGTTTACATCAGGAGCTCATGTTTGATTTCTGTTTGATTAGCATTAAATTACTGTGGGAGTCAAATGTAAGCATGCCTGTAGCTCCATGCGAGGGTCTGATGCCAGGTTGGCCCAGACTCAAAGGGGTGGCGTGAAATTTGCTTCCAGCACGTCTCCAAAAACAAAAGTGTGACTCGGCCAGCAGAATGGGTTTAACCAAATAACTGCAAAGTTTGTGACGGCGCCATGAACCTGCATCGAGCTTTAGAGCCGTCTGGCTGTTAGCGTTTTAATATAATAAAGTTAAAGCTCTGCAATCCCTCACCTGCTTTCTTGGGTGTTCAGCCGCTGTTCTTCAGATCACTGCCACACTGTCACACCTGTCAGTCGTAATACTCTCGTCCAATCACCTTCTTGCCCGCCTTCTTTGAGCCAATTAGCTTCCACTCTGGTTTAAATCTGTGCTCTTCATCATTCTCCCTTTCAGGCTGTCATTTGCACAACCCACCTCGTCCCCATCTCCATTTTCACGTTCACCACCACCAGCGTCTAGACTCCAGGGGGTCCTGTCCTAAATCCTGTTACTGCTGGGATGTAAGACGGGTCACCAGAGTCTGATCGCCAAATACGTTCATTTCTTTGTCATCTTCAGTTCTTGATCTCTCCTTATTGAACAGGAGATATTATCAGTATGTCAGCATTGCAGAGTGAGTGCTGCATTTAGCTCCACTTTCAGGCTCACAGAGCAGCTGGCATCCAGTGCACGACGCTCCCCCTTCAGTTTCCTTTGCTTTAACCCAACCCTGTAGTAGGTCTCTATCAGCGAGTGGTTCTGCAGGCCAGGAGCTGTTCCACATTCTTACCTGACATGCCCGTCCTCCCAGGTGTTTTACAAAATCTAGTTGTCTTATGAGGCCCTCGCTCTTTTCCATTACAGGTTACCACAGGTTCATGTTTTTTTAAGGAATCATTGCTGGGCCACAACCTTCTTCTGCCGTCCACATCATCCCATCATGCATTGAGATAGGATGCAGTTTTCTTTATTTGCTGAACCTACTACTGTACCTTCTCAGGTGAACTGACCTAGCCTAACGCATGCACCTGTGCAACAAACCGAGGCTGTTTGCATGTTAGATCCTTTACATTTCTACTTTTTTAATGACGTTTTCATTCGTATGCATGACATACATGGAAGTGCTTTCTCTCTCGACCCCAAGAAAAGTAAATATATCGTGAGGTTTCCTTGCAATATTGCTATAATGCACTTTTGAGTTCGCAAACTTAAACATGATGTATATAAACAGTATGTATTCTACACAAGATGCTTTTTCTTGCATGGAAGTGTGAGGCTCAAAATAACGAGGCCCAGCACACTGCAAACATACTTCAGCTTGAATACTGGATAATCATAGTTATGCACAAATGTTATATTTATTACAAATTACAAACACGTTTGTAGCCACTGCAATGACCCCAACCTATAAAGCTGTCTAGCTGTTATTGCACAACTCTTAGTGCTGTTTTTATGTAGACTTTCACAACCTGCTGCGACCCTTTAACCACTGTTTTTATAAGGTTTTAATGTTTGCAAGAATCACTGCTTCAATAGTTCAGTTTACACTGAAGAGGGAGAGTAAACGTGGACAGTCATAAAACTTACACAGACTTGCTCACCGTGTCTTCTGCTGTGGAGACCTGAAGTGTTCAAAGGTGTTACGCAGTTTTATGGATTGAAAACAGACCAAATACAATCGTACATGCTCACTGACTGCTTTGTTAGCTACACCTGTGCAGCTGCAGAGATGCAGATGTGATTGTGAATGTGGTTGTTGGTACCAGAAGGACTCGTGTGACTACTTCAGAGACTGTTGACTCCTCTATAGTTTACACAGAGTCTGAAACAGGAGCAGCAGATGTAGAAGAAGTGAACACGTCACCACAGCTGTCAGCTAACAGGAAACACACGGACCATCAAAACTGAAGATTCGAAACACGTCTGATGCTCCTTGATTCTCCTGACATTCAGATCAGGTCAGAGTTTGGCATAAGCATGAAAACATGGCTGCCTGTGTCAGTGGGTCAGGTTGGTTGTGGTGTAATTCTGGTCCCCTTGGTATAAAAATGAGCATCATTTAAACACAGCAGCCTACCTGACAATGACCACGCTGATAAATGTTTCCATTCAGCTACTTGAATAAAATAAGATTTAATTATATATTGAATTTATTAAAAATGTGCAGGGATACTAGCAAGGTGTACCCAACGAACTATCCAGTTAACGATCCTAATGAGGCAATCACATCTTTGGCTCCAGCGTGTTTCTATTAACTGAAACATGAATAAATACCCAGACACACAAATAATTCTTCATTCTAATGAAACAATGATGCTGAAATAAAAAGGTCAAAATAAGACTCCAGAGCAGGCACATTATTCTTCATTTCACTGGAATAACTTTGTTTTTGTGTCTCAATGAGACACTTTTTATTTGGCTTTGTCCACTTTTATTATCTTAAAAGATTTGTGCTTTTAAATGTTGGTGCTGAGGTGCAGAAAATCATAAAGCATTTATGAAGTGATGGCTTCACTGGTTGGGCTCATTACGGTTGCTGTTGCAGACTCCTCCACTGCTGCGGTTCAGAACTTTGTTCTCATTTATTTGCGTCACACGTATATGAATCATATATTTTGAGGGATGAAATTAGAAATAATGTAATTTGTATACAGCCACTCGTTTATTGAAACACCTATAATGCATATTACTCTCCCTGTATAATCACGAGGACAGCAGTAGCACCTTTGGAACAATATGAAAGTAATCTTTTAAAATAAAGTGTTGTTATATATTCGACACTCCCGTGTCTTTATTGTGCGACTCCTGCCCGACACGAGGAAGCCAGGTCTCAACAAACATGTTTATTAAATGATCCAAACATCGTGAGGAAACAGTGCCACTGGTACTGCCGTGACTCTGTTCACATACACCGAAGCCATATTTGGGTACATTACAAAAGTCAGCTTAAAATCATCAGTTCAGCTCTGACAGGAAAACTACAGAACGGACACAAAAAAGATTAGAAACAGAAGCTTTTTGACATTAAATGAAGCTCACAAGAGAACAACGGTACAACCCAAATGACTAAATGTCTCTAGTTAACATGCTGAGAGTGAAAAACCTTTCTTCCTTTTTTAAATGACAAAATGAACCTTTAGTTTTCAACAAGAGAAGAATGGAGCGACGGAGCTGAAGGAAGAGGACAGAAACACAAAGACGGGACCACGAGGAGCGTTTACCCATCATTAGGCAAAAGCTTGTCACAAACACAAGACTTGCATAGAGACGTTTAGCGTTCCCCGATGCATAGACAAACAGTTTATCTGGTAAGAGGCTAAGATTTGCTCGGGGAAATCGAGGCACAGTGTTGTTAAAGGGGAGTCACATGGATTCATTATATAAATTACATTTGTGTTTTTGTCTGTGTCAATGAAAGAAACCATCGTGGAGCTGTTCTGCTTCTCTTTTCTACTCTCTTTGTCAACAGCACGTCTTCCCTTTGAGCACGAGAGCCTAAAATTATTAACTGAACGTTTGATAAAGTACGATTAATTTGAGCAGAACTCCGGAAGCAGACCGCGCTCTCCGAGATGAACAAAACGTGAATAAAAATAAAGATATGAAGCCAAGTATGGAGATACTGACAGTGAAGAGCACAGTGTTTAATCCATCCTGTACGTGATGAATATTACTGAGCAGATAAGTGAGCAGAGAGCCGGTGGCTGCAGCTGCAGCTGTAGCACCACAGTCATGTCTGAGTGTTTTGTTTGCAGCGAGCACCAGTGTATACATTCAGAGGAGGTCACTGTACAGCTGTTCTCATACAGCTGCTCAACAGCACATTTGGTTATTAGTGCATATTGCTCTAAAACATTCAAACGTGGCCTGAATCGTTTTAGCTTCTGGGTTACAGTCCGAATCTGTCAGAGTGATAAAAGAACCACCGTGAGCCAGGTGCAGCCGAGGAACGGTCGAGTTTGCAGATATTTTGCACTTTGAGCAACAAGTATGTACACAAAAGGTTCGCCTGCGTTACTGTGTAACCTCCCTGAACAGGGACGACTGACAGCCAGGCTGGCCTTAGATCGAATCAAATGAATATAATCTCCTTGGCAGTGCCGCACTCTGGTAGTTTGTGACTGGAAGTACAGTGCAGGTACAGGAAAGAGTCAAAAAGTGCAACAGGGACAGAAATGACGTAATATCCTGACAGCTCGGCCGGCGCATCAGGGCGTTGAAGGTTTTTCATTAAACGTGACAAACGTACGCGTCGGCCTCGAGCATCACCGGGACAAATCTAGTTCACGCCCATTTATCACTCTGAAGCTCACGCGGTGACTTCCACGTGTGGAAAACCAAAACTTTTCTTTCTTAGTGAAGTTTGCTTCATATTTGTTTTACATGAAGCACTTGGGATTGCACTGGTGAAGGAGCATCGCTCCTCTTTCCAGTTTCTCAGGATGAAAAACATTCAAGCCGCCTGCAGCCCAGCTTCGTGTTTGTTGCTGCAGGTTCAGAGCAGGGCTGGCAGTGAAGCACTTAAGTACACATTTATAAAATGCACTTTGGGAAAGAAGAAAATCGGCACAGTGACTGAAGGCAGAGAAGAGGAGAAAGATTTGATGGCGTCGTGTAAAGAGCACGATCGTAGAAATTGCACCGATCCCTCTGTACCAACACTGTAAAGACAAGTTCTTCCTTTGAACACAAACGCTGATATATACACATTTAAAGCTTAACACTAATACACAAAAAGCACGTCGCTTTCCCTCTGACCAGACTTCCTGGTTGCTCCAGAATGACATCACAATAAGGCAAGCAGCTGGTCGGAGAGGTTATCCCATCGTTCCCACTGACATCTGCCAGTCTGGGTCTGTGGTTATGTAAAGGACACGGGCGCAGCGAGCGGCGGTTTAACTGCTCGACAGTCGATGGTAAAAGTAGATGTAGCCCAAGTCCTTCGGAGGTCTTTCTGACAAACACACTTTGTGGTCGTTGTAGATCACCCACCTGCAGCGGGAGAAGCGCACATTAAATTTACACAAATGCTTTTAAAGTGTCATTTTTCTCAGATTTTAACGGGTTCATTATTCTTTTTCTACTCGGTGTGAAGAGGAAACAGGCTCAGCTATGATCCTGCAGCCAGACTGCTGATCGAAGAACTAAAATAATCTCTGTACACAGGTAATGCAACGAGATGAGACATCAGAGATGTTTCAGGCCTGCATGTCGTCAGCTCACCGTCCCTCCTTTTTGATGTGACAAACATAATGTCCGGACATCGTGGACGCTCCCATGTGACTGATGAAGGCAAAGAGCTCATATCCTTAGAAAAAGAAGGAGAACAAAGTCAGTGAGTGACAAACTAACGCAGAAAACCAATTAAAGTGATGATTAAAGTGCTCGTTTTCAGTTTTAACTTAAAAACAGGTGATTTGTTGAGCACGTGGGGATAAAATGAATTTAACTTGTTTTTTGATGCTGCTGCACCTTGAAACTCGGTGCCCAGCAGCACGTGGGTGCAGCATGCGTCATAATCAGACCTGACTCGGGCTAAAATGGCCCGCGGACGCTCACAGTGTCGAGATTAAATTCAAGGGCAGAGTATGTTTCTGTTGGAGGTCGTGCACTCACGTCCTGGTCCGTCTTTGACTCTGGGGCCCGACGCGTCTCCGTCTGGGGACAGCGTGGCGTCGCTGTGCGAGTTGGAGAAGGCGTTGTCATTGGGCTCTGTGTCAGCCATGTCTGAAAGGGCATCGCTCTCCTCCTCCTCCTCCGGGTGGGTGAAGATCCAGTCGAGAGCTCGTTCAAGATTATTGTTCTGTAAAATGCCAAAAGCGGCACAAACACGGTGAGCTCGCTGACATTCAGGACGAAAAAGGCCGTAAATATCCCAGGAACGCCAAGAATCACAGGGAATCTCTTCTTCTCATGCAGATGTGGAAACGCTCACTAGGTGATGACCCGTTCTTATACAAGAGCTTTAACCTCCTGAGACCCGAACTCGTCCACGGCAGCAGTTTTTATTTCTCTTTGATATTTGGTCACATTGGGGCTCGATGAATGTAGAAACAGAATTACCAGATTTTGTTTTTTTACATTATTTGAGTTTTTATGAAAAATCAGAGCCACATGTGAGGATATTCGTTTAAAACTTTGATAGAACAGTAGCAGCATAATGTGGATTTCAGGCCCGCGTAGAGCAAAATTGAGTATTTTGGTCTAAATAACCCAAAATGTGACGTCCACATGTGTGAACGCAGGTCCTAGCAGGTTAAAGCACTTTCATCTCATTCATACAAGCAGCTTTTTCTAACGTTCACACTGCAGTGATGCACTGGGAGCAACTCGGGGTCAGCATCTCCAGGCTGCAGCAGCAGGGATCCAACTACAAACCTTCCTTAGTGGGTGACCTGCTCTTCATCCTTAACCACACCCACAAATATTTCTACTTTTCCTGGAAAAATCATTTCCTGAAATGCTCAAACCAACAGTCACAGTAGAAGCAGCCGTGCTCGTGGGAAACCAGGCTGATGATTGAATTTTGGGGCATTAATTTCCCCCACAGCTCCAGTGCATCTTGTCTCACTTTTAGGAACGTGTTAAATGAACAATTATTTACTGGAAAGGTGAACGCAAACATCCGCCTGTGCTCGTTTCTCCACAGAGGATGTTTGCGTTCAGTCCAAAATAGAGGTGTGATTGCTGTCAGCGTGAGGAGCACGTCGGGATGATGAGGAGCTGCCTGATGTTGTCACGGCGCTCAAGAGCAACTCTCGTTTTCTTTCTTGTGCTAATAATGAACCAGGACTTGAGACCGCCTCTCTGTGTCACACCTCCATCCCTCAGGACCAGCGTGAGCTTCTTTCCACTTCAGCATCACGGAGGCAGCGAGTTGGGCGCACTGATGATGAAGCCTGGCGTGTCTATTTGTGCGTCTGACAGTCTGCTGGGCTATTTCTGCTGAGGGCGCACTTTGAAAGATGAGAATCAGAGGCCATTTCAAAACAACTGAT